TTTGTTGATGTTCCTTCTGCCGTTGTTGCTGAGGTATCATAACTGCCACTTCTCGGAAAAGCTCTTGGCTGTTGCCTCCCGTAATGAACAAACCATCTAGGAAAACTCATTAGAAAAAATACTCTGTTTTATCCCTTAAAAATACTCGCTGTTCGTTCATCCAAGGTTTTCCTAATAGTTTTCAATCGATAAAGAGAATAAATATCCTCGTTAAAATTCTCTGACCAAGACACTGGTTAAGGGAACATCTTCTGACTGAGGTGACGAATTTAGCGATTATTATTTTATTGTATCAGCTTAAGATCTCACAACAAAAGGCTATATCAATAATTTTTCTTAAGGATATAAGTTTTCTGTTTCTATGTTTCACTGGCCAAAATCTTCACAATTATATCAGGTTCAACGAAAACGCTTCATCAACACAAGTGACAACAATTGTTTCGTGTTCTAACTCAACTATTCACTTCATAATTCTCAAAAACTAATTTACAATTTTCCACGTGAAAGGTCAAACTAATCAGAGTCGGTAAAATTTCTAAACAAATGTGTTGAATAAAACAAAAGTGAATCGGAAGAGTAGAAGTCAAACAAAAATGTGTGACAGTCAACAAAGTTTGGTTAATTCTCTAACTTTTCGAAAGTTAAACCGAAAACTCGTAATCTGACACGATGCTTTCTTTATCTGCCTTTGATAAACGATTCACTGCTTCAATTTTTTTTTTTTTTTTTTTTTTGCAGGCTTGAAACAATCACCTATTTTTCTTAAACGTGTTAAATAACCATGAACCCTTGTCCTTTCCCACTCAACAAACAACTTTATATAACCTGACTCCATCCTCTCACATCACCAACTAGCCGTTTCATTTCTACCAAAACTTTTCAGCAACACCAAAGAAAACATTGTTGACTCCACTTTCTGTCCTGTTGTAGGGTGAAGGTCTGAAGGTTCCCCCGGTCTTCCCTAGTCATACGTCTATGGGCAAGATTTCCTTTTCTCGTTGAATGTTTCTCCATCAGCCAATATTCTCCTTGAGTAACTCTCCAATCTGTTACGAAATGATGGTGCTCTGGAGAA